CAGACAGACAGACAGACAGACAGACAGACAGACAGACAGACAGACACAGATAATAGATAGATAATAGAAAGAGAGAGAGGGATAGAGATAGATGAGAGAGAGAGATAATAGATAGATAATATATTAATCAATCGATCATACTGGTCTAGTTCCTAGTCTGGGATGCGAAGAAGCTGCAGTAACTATAAGGACATAATTGCTTTATTATAGACATGCATTTTTAATATAGGCTTGCTGTGGTCTACACAGATTTATTTTCATATTTTGAGTTTTAATCTTTGATTTTATGTTTGTTGTTAAAACTTTATACATAGTTGGTTCAGGTGTAACAAACTAATTTATTCACTCTTCCTTTCATATGTATAAGTTTGAGAAATGTTATTCGGTTCAGATGATTTTCTATGATGTCTGCACTTGGAAACCATGGTTTAAACTTTGCTTACAAACTAGGACATTTATTCAGAATCTGATATGAGTTTATAAGCTACCACTAGTCCATAGTTTCCTAGTTCAGACATCAAAGAAGCCTATGATTTACGAAAGAAGACCGTATTTATATTTTTCAAACCCAGTCACGTGAGTGAGATAAAGTAGAAGAGACACGTTGCATTCTTAAGGATTACCTATAGCTCATGAGTTTTAGTTCACAGCATCTGACCAGGACCACTGTTTTTTCTAATATTTTAAAACAAATATCTTCTTTATTCCTCCTCCTTTTGTCTTTCTCCTAAAGTGGTGGATACCTTGCACATGCCTCCAACTCCTCCCAGCAGCCACGGCAGTGATTCTGAGTGTGGACAAAGCCCAACCCGGTCCCTCCCACCATCAAGTCCCACCCAGTTACAGGCCACTGTTAAAGTGACTTCACGCACAGCTTCAGCACTCACCAATTCACCTCTCTTAACAGCACCGCATGTAAGAGACAGGGGTCTCTGTCTTTTTTTTTTTTTTTAATGCATTGTGTTTGAGTCATTTAGGCACACTGGTTGACATTAAAACATTTGTAATGAAAAATATAAATTGTCCCATTTAGCCAAGTCCTCATTTTTTATATTTCAGGATATTGTTATAGCTCAACAGGTAAAGAACAGTAATTCAGGGGACTGTGGATCTGGATATTGCTTTGTTGAAAACTGCACCAGCATAAGGCTGTCCTCAGAGTGTGGCGTTAGAATGTTCCACGCATTTAATCCATAACCATTCCTCATTTGTCCATAGGGCAGATGGGGGAAAGGTTGATCTGCAAATGTTGCTCTGCTGACTACCCAATTAATCTTGCATGTCTGCCACTCTCTGTTATAATTAGTTATGTTTGTATGTATACACACATACCCCCCCCGAGTGTTTCACTACAATATTTAGTTGAGTAACTGCCTAATTTAAATCATTATAAACATGCCGATTGATGAAGAAATGTCTTATGAATTGGAATGTTAAATTTTTTTTTTCAAAATTATTTTCAATATAAATACTTCTAGAAACTTAAAAAACAAAATAAGTACGCTTTATTCCTTCAGGCAACCATTTTTATGCAGATTTAAACTCTTGATTCTAAGATTATTTTAATTGGGTAGTCTGTGCTACTTTGGAGCATGTGCTACTTTGGAGTTCCTGCTTGCATGCATATTTAATCCCGTGTTTTTGTTGGGGGTCATGGTCACAACTTTAAGTTCTGAAAGACAATTTTACCCATGCTTACCGGTACATTCTTTTCCCTTTTCCCCACCCCACCCTTTTTTCCTTGCCACTATCAAAGAAACTGCAGGGCACAGGTCCCCTAATCTTGACAGAGGAGGAGAAGAGAACGTTGATAGCAGAAGGATATCCCATCCCTACAAAACTTCCCCTCACTAAAGCAGAAGAGAAAGCACTGAAGAAGATCCGTAGAAAGATCAAGAACAAGGTAAGATGATTTGGTCTCTTATTATATCTGTTTCTACAACGTCCCTCCCCCAACACGGTTTTTCTTTCAAGCACGGTTTAGGTGCGACTGTCCTCTCTCACTGAGTTTGCCACAACTGTAGCCGTCTTTCCTCTGCTGTCTCTCGGTGGGTAAGCTGCGTCAGTGACTTTGTGCTTGCTGCTCCCTGCCTCCAAGTTTGCCTGCAGTTGAATTTTAACTGCCCATCTGTCCTAAAATTAACTTCCAAAGGGAACATGGTTTAACAGGATTTTTCTATTCTGTTACTAAGTAACCCTAGTTTTGTTTTGTTCTTTGGGTTTGCTTTGGCTTGCTTTTGTAAAGGCCACTGCTCTTTTCTCTTCTAGATTTCTGCCCAAGAAAGCAGGCGGAAAAAGAAAGAATATATGGACAGCCTGGAGAAGAGGTGAGCAGAGGGATCCATTTGATCAAATATCTAGGAAGGTTGACAAAATGGAGAGCTTAGGGCCCAGTAGTAGAGGAGATATTTGTTTGCAAGAAGTCCAGGTTTAATCTCCGGTATCTGTGATTAAGAATTCCCTTTAGAAAGCAAGCTCTTTGGCTGGAGGGCAAGGGAGGAGGGTAGATGTACCAGTGGCCCAATTCAATTTAAAGAGATCCAGCTCTCTGAGAAGTGGTCTTGCTGTGCTCCTTCGGTTTCCTGAAAGGAACCACCATGGCCCCGAAAACCTGGAAGAACATGTGCTTCCCATGCCCCCTAGTGGCTACTGAGAGGGGGAAAACCAAACTGTTCATGGCATAAGGAAACAGGCTATGCATAATAAATATACCAATATATCGAAATGATGTTAGCATGGCAGCCATGGTCCATAATACCCATGCTGAGAATAAAACTTGGGGCAGAATGTGCTAAAAAAAGAAGACTATTTCATTTATTTCTCAAGATCCCAAAAGTTTCACCATCCTTCCTAAACCTAGGGTTTGTCTATAGTGCAAGCTATTCTAGGTTATAAAATCAAAGGCCTGTTTTCTAAATGTAGGTCTCTTGGCATATCTTTATCTGCTCCTAATGGCAGTTCAGAAAGTAGATCCCACTATTGTTGGTTAACCAAACCCTGTTCTTTAAGCCTTTAATTTTCATTGATTTCCAAGGGTTGAATCCTGCTCAACTGAGAACAGTGAGCTTCGCAAGAAAGTGGAAGTTCTGGAGAATACAAACAGGTAAAATATGCAGTCCAAGTCAAAAAACGTCTTTCTTTCCATACCATATTTTGAACTGAATGAAACTGGAATGGCTAGAAGACCAACCGGCTGATTATTTTTATATGTGTCAGTGGGTCTGAATTTCCAAAAAGGAGGCCCTGATGACATCCAGAAAGTGGGATGTGAAGTCAGTACCTAGACTGACCTCTGGGGTGATATTACTTGTCACAGCATTCTTAAGATCCAAGGTCTAAAATTCCTTCACTGTACCACTATTGTGAATACACTTTGTGAACTGAAAGAAGTAGAGAATCAGTGGTTTTACTGATGTTGCTGGGATTTGTAGTTCTGCAAAATACTGGGGAAAAGGGTGTTGCAGAATTTCTGCTCCTTTGGTAGTAGAATGTCCTTTGTGGAGTTTGGAAAAGATCTGTTGGCGCTGAAACAACTGATGTGTTTTGTGTAGATGGTTTCAGTAAATTACTTTGGATACTGTATGAAAGACAGAGAATGTGACATAGAAACACTGCAATAAATAAATCTTGCAAGAAACTGAAAATTGGGCAAAGCTGTCTGCGCCTACTTCTTCTCACAGCGTGGGCTGTCAATATAGCCTCGCATAGTCAGGCATCAGCAGCAAGAAAGGCACTTATCATTCTGACACACGAAGTGGCAAGGTTGAGCAAAATCCATCAGGAGACTGATTCCCTTACTGATCGTATATTTCGTCTTTGTCAGCTTTCTGTGCTGTAACTGACTACGGTAATGAACCCAGCATTGTTTAAAAAGACAAAAGAAAAAAGCATTTAAATAAGGGTGGGCAGTCATTCATTTCTTCGATGAACCAGAGTTAAGTGTCTCCACGTACAAGTTCTGCACTTGGAGGCAGAGCTCTGTGTTACCATAGCAAATTCAGATTCCTAAACCTCTTTTGGCTGATGTGATGTGGAGGCAGAAAAGGCATTTGGAAGGGGACACTGGCAATCTGAAGAGTAGGATGTACTTAGCCCTTCCTACTTCTGATTTGTAAGCTACTCTTCCCCTGACATTTCTTCCCCTTTGCTGAGATTCTTGTTCTGTAGCCTAAGATTAGAGAGAGAAAATAATCATTAAGTAGCACATAGGAAAATATTGTCAAGCTGGGCAAGGATAAAGCAATGACTATGTGTTGAATCTCCTATGGAGAGGAGGGACCTTAGCTCAGTGGCAGCACACCTGCTTTGTATGCAGATAGGCCTAGGCACTGGCAGTTTTAACAAAGAACAAAATCTGGTAACAGACCAGATTTCTGCCTGAAGCCTGAGAAGGCTTCTATCAGGCTAAATGGCTAATTAGTTTGTTATAAATAGTTTCCTGTGCTCCCTTGCTATTAACCACACATCAGGTTAGACCATAAACTGTGGTATACAAATCACAATAGCTGAGTTCATATAATATGCTCAATTTCAAATGAAAAACCACCTTTTGGCAAATCATGAACTCTGCAATAGGATTAATGATTGTACCAGTAGTTGACCAGATAGGCAAACAAAGTTGAGTGTATATATCTTTACACATTCATTATAATACTGATACACTAAGACAGCAGTTGGGCTTCACTACTTTTCAAGCTCTTCAAAAGAAAATTGGCATCCAATGATCCTAAACCAAAAATGGGAAATTCTTTATTAGAATTAGCCAATTGGTGCCTGATGGTACGAGGTGCACAGGAATGGATCAAATAATCTGAGGATGCTAGGCTCTTTTCACTGGAGGTTTTTAATCAGAGGATGGAGATGGCCATGGCTACATTAGCAAGAAGCTGATGAAATGCCTCTGAGATCCATTCTTATCCTAGGATTCTATGATTTCATGGTCCATAGTTTCTTGAAGAAACAGATGTATAACTGGAAACACTTCCCATGTAATCCATGGAACAGGTGTTTGCTAGGCTGGGAATAATGGTGCCACTCCTTGGCTTTTATTGTACATATAAAGAAATAGAAGAGAAAAAGGAAAGGATTTCCAAATCAGGAAGAGATTTAGTGGTTGGAGAAAAGCTGGTGGGATCCTTTACAGAAATCCCTAGGTTAATGCAATTATGCTTTAGTTTTGAAGAAAGAAAAAAAAAAGATAAGTAAGAAAAGAACATCCACAATAGGGGGGATATGCAACAACCATAAAGGGTAGGGAATCTCTATTCCTTGTGACTTAAACATATGCTATTTTTCGTTGTTAACAACCCTAATCTATTCTTCCTCAAAATGGTACTCCCAGTTGTGTTGAACCAGGGCTACCACATCAGGATTGCAAAAATCTGGATGACCACTAGATCTGATGGGCCCTGGACTTCAGCTCCCATAATCTTAAAGCCACAGCTCACAGGATTATCAGAACGGAAGTTTATGCATTGCATGTTTCAAAGATAGTGTTGGGAAAGGCTGTATCTTTCCCATAGGGCTTCATTATGCAAAAAGATGGAATAAACTGCTTCTGTTCTGTGTAGTTCCAGTCTCTTGAGCAATCCCAAAGAAAAGAAAAATAATATTTTCTTTCCTTTTGTGGGGTTTATTATGTGGGTGTATTCTTCTTGACAGGTCTTGAAGTATTAAGTTCTTAAAATATCCAATACATCTGAGAAATCATAAGGGCAGAAAGATTGGAGGGACGTGTGAAAACCAATTCTTCACACAATGCAGAGTTAAACTGTAGAATTTGCTACCACAAGCTGTATTGATGGTTGTCAATTTGGGTAGAATTAGGGATTAGACAGTTTCATGGAAGATAAAGCTGCTAGTAGTCAGGGTGCCTATGCATTACTTCACAGTGGCATTTGATTGACCACTGTGGGAACAGAAGATTGGGCTAAATGGGCCTGTAATCTGATCCAACAGGGCTTTTATGTTCTTAACTGTCCTGTGTACTGATTCCTTCTCCTGTATCTTTCAGAACACTCCTGCAGCAATTACAGAGGCTCCAAACCATGGTAGCTGGCAAAGTGTCACGCTCATGTAAAGCTGCTAGTACGCAAACAGGGACATGTCTCATGGTAAGTTCTTCTCATTGCTGATGCTCTCTTAGGACTTTCATTGATCATTCTTTGGTGTCTCCGTGCAGCTTATGCTGTCAAGATGTGAGGAATAAATGTCTAGGTACCCACATTCTGCTCTTCATGTAGTACTGCTTTATTTGTTTTTATATTCAGCTTTCTGTCCAAAGCAGAGCAAGAACACTTTCTCTTGCATTTTTTCCTTCCACCAACAAGCTTGTGGGAACAGGTCGGGCTGAGGAATAGTGATTAGTCCCAAGTTACTCTGTAAGCTTCCATGACTGAGGGTTCAAATGCATATTTGAAACAATATGCCACACTGGCTCTGATTATGGACCAAATAAGATGGGACCCCAACCAAATATTTATATTTTTTACCAAATAAATAGCAGGTATTGGAGGAGAAGTCTTGGATTGGGATCCTGGTAGGAGCAATTGTTTAAGTTCTTATTGCCCTGACAAGGATTACATTTGATAATATTCTCTTCCTTTCTTTTATTTCTTAACTGTATAAATGCTGATATATTCCGTTTGCCTTGATGGGGATGGCCAAGTCCGCAATGGGTTTCAGGACAGCATTAGGTGGAAGTGGCTGTTTCATGTAGCATTCAGTTTGGTGCTTATAGATGATGTTGGCAGAGATGTAATGCTGAAATGGAAGTTGAAAGACCATGAGATAGATTGAAGTAGCACAGTCATTATGGCAGATAGCAGCATAAACATCACAAGAAAAGGGAGCTTTGAAATCCAATCTTGATAAAAAATAATTTCACATTAACTTCATTTTTCTTTCTTTTTTTAGTCCCTTATTTCCACCAAAATGATTATTTTCTATATGCATTTCCTTTCCCAGAAATACTTTTGTTTTTTTAAATTAAAATTCTAATTTGAATGTCAGTGTTGCTCCTCATAAGAAAAGTTCATTAAAAATAATGTTAGCCTATCTTCCTGATGTTTTCAAGTCTTTGGGCAGAAAGGAAACAGTTCCATTAGCTGAATTAGGAAGTTATATTATTCCAGTGAATCTGTACCATCTGCTTTCAGGCTAGCTTTATTAATGAGATGAAAACTGAAATGGATTAACAACTTAGAATATAGTTATGATTTATCTTATCTATTCAAGATCCTTTCTTCTCAGATTATTATTTCTTTTCTATATGGAGCCTTTGTGCTTCCAGTAGATCCAGTTAGGTTCCTTTCTAAACACATTAGAACACACAAGCAGTGGGTGAAATGGGATGGGTGGTGATATGAGAGCCAATATCAATTTCTGATACTTGTGTTTTGCAAGTAATATCTCAGCTGGGTAGAATGGTTCCAGAGCTTCTAAGATTGCCATGCTAAAGAAGATATGTCTCTAGTAGAACTAAATCAGTATTGCACTGGGTTTCTAGTGCTGAGCATCCTAGGAAAGAATGATTTCAACTAAGCTAGAGAAGAAGTGAAGAAAGAACTTCTGAAACACAGTTTTTGTTGGTTTTTGTATCGTTCTGTTGTATTTAACTTCTGATGACATGATTTTGTTTAATCATCTATAACAGTATGTGTGCTTTTCCCCCTGCCAGGTTGTAGTATTATGCTTTGCAATTATTTTGGGCAGCTTTTCACAGAGTTATGGACCTAATTCCTCCATCACAAAAGCTGTGCTGCCAACTCAGCATTCTACACCAGAGTCATATACAGCATCTATAGGTGAGTCCAAAATCATAGGAATTTCTAATTTTCCCAGTTTGTAAAGCATCCTTTCTTAGTGTAGGTACTCAGAAGTTTTGTTTAACTACAACTCCATCACCCCCAAATAGCACAACCAATAGTCAGGAATGCTGGGAACTTGCATTGGCACCAGTGACCAACTAGTAACTAATAGGTTCTAGGATTTGAGACAGTAGGCTCACACCAGGTATTGAGTATAGATTAAGAGAGTTTACAAAGGGAAAAAGAAAATATGCCAGTCCTTTCAGCTACTTAGGAACCCCTGAAATTACAGAGGACAGATTCCCTGAAACCACCTGGCTGATACATAGCACCTTCCTAAATCTTTGGGTCTATGCTGAGATTCAAAATGTCTGGGGTCTCTTGCCACTTTTTATACTTTTTCAGAATATGGGAGATATAAATAGCATAACACCTGGAGATGGTTTGATGACACATCTTATGAGTGTCTTGATCACAACCCAGACAGTTGACCGACTGCCAAAGATATCCTAATTAAGACATTGTTCTTAGCATGTATAACTTATTCCCTGTTCTGCAGGTGTTAGACTAGGGAGTACATGTTCTCTTTGTTGTTAATTGTTAAAAGCTACAATATAGATAAGAGGCTCAAGAGTGAAAGTAATTCCATGATAATAAAATATCATCTGTTATGTAACCCCATCTAAATATGAGTGTAGGAAATCTGTCTTACACATGTAGACAGAAAAAAAGTGGACCACTATACTCTCTTGCTGTGTCTTGCAGAGCTATAACAGACAGCATTTGGGACCCAGTCTAAGAAAGGCTGCAGTATTGTAGGGCAGGTGCATATGGTTGTTTCTGCCTAGAAATCTACCAGTCATTGATGTTGGCTGGTAAATCAGGATCAAGGTATGGAAGTGAACTCTGTTTTATTGCTCTGTTCATGCAGTAAAAGGATGTATGGGGAGCTGTGCAATCAGGAAATATCTAATCTAGAACCTTTAAAGCAGGGATGAGAATCTGCCACTGGCCATACTTTTTTTTTATTGGGAGACAACCAAGACTGTAATGGATGGAATAATTATGTAGGTACATCACTAGGATCTCTGGATAGTGCGTGCATGTGTGTGTGTGTGTGTGTGTAAAGCAGTGCAACTCTTGGAGACTAAAGGTTTGGGTCTGTGTATGATCTATTCAGTGCATTC